AGGTTTTCATCTTTTTCTTGATAAATAGCTGAAAATTTAAAATAACTAGAAGGCTTGGTTTTTGTCCTTCTTAGACCTTCAAGACTACACACTTGAAAATGTCTCCTGCTCCAATGTCCTGTCTGGCTACGGCTAGCAGGGGTCTTGGGTAGGGACCGCTTGGGCTCCAGTGGAAATTGACTGTTCTCCTGGCCATCTACCTTCTGGCTGTTTAAAATTAACAATACGATATTCATCCCCAAATGCAACAGCAGCTTGTAATGCTGTTTGTCTGTCATTAGAAGTCAATGCTTGATTTAAGATTAACATTACATTTTTCCAGTCTAGCTTAAAGATCTGAGTAAATCTTCTAAAGACATCAATGTACTTATCAAGGTCATCTGAAAAATTTCCAAGATTGAACTTTATCTGTTTTAAATCACTGAGAGAAAAAGGCACATGGACTCTGGAAGTTTTAAACTGTCCATTTACTTCTTGTAAAGGATACTGTCCTTGAGGAGCTTGCATAATAAGCTCAGCTAAGGATGGGTACAGCCCTGTAGAGGCCTGGATTACAGCTGGTCTAGAAGCCCCATGCTCTCGCCTAGAAGGGCAAGTAGGGGAAACCTTAGATTTAGTAATGGTGGGTGAGGCTTTGATTAAGGCCGCCTTGCCCTCAGGCTCCAAAAGGGGAGGAGCAGTCTCAGGCTCTGGGATAGTGAATGCCTTAAGAGCTTGAGGTGTCTGGTTTTCCTGTGGCTCACATCTATATTTTGAAATTAAATATGGACTACTTCTTAATGCAAAGAAAATCTGAACATAAGGCATTTTCGACCACTTTTCTTCTTTTTGTGTAGTATGTTTCTAGTTGTAAAATAGCATTATAATTAATATTTTCCTCCGCACTCCATTTTGTTTGTTTGCTTGTCTGTATGTTTAGTTTTTCAGTACCGGGAATTGAACTCGGGACCTTGCACTTGCCAGGCAGGCGCTTATGCCACTGAGCTATATCCCCGGCTTGCATTCCACTTTGACTGTGAGCATCCCATATCAAAAAAGTAGTCTGGGCATTCCCTTTTTATTTCTAATTGGTTTTTATACACTCAAGGCATTCCTTGAGTAGACTCCACTTCAGGGCAGGTGGATGCCATCTGAAGTGAGATTGGAAGACAATATCTGACCAGCCCATCCACCCTTGAACTGGCATGCGATTTTACCCTCCCAGGAAGCTCATGAACTTGTGTACTTCTTCCTACTGGACATTTATAAGCATAAGCTACATAAGCACAAGCATAAGCTATTTTTGTGACAGGAATGTCTAAAGAAGGAAGCATAACTTTGTAATAAACGATTGATGTTTGTTCTTTGGAAGAAGGCATATATAAAAAAAGGTGAGTTGGAAGTAGAACACTTCTCCTGCTGTGCTGTGAAAGAGAACACCTCTGGAGATAGGTAAAAGGGGCAACTGACTTGAGGAATTCTGCCCTGAGCCCTAGGGCAAAGAAATCTCCAAGACATTTGTGTTATCTCTCTAATTACCAATGCAACCTTTCCTGACAGCAGGACAAGGCTATGCTTTATTTGAATTTTTGAATGTTCATAGGTTAAACTTATGTTTATCATCTAGAAATCACATTTTACATGTTGGTAAAGGCACATTAGTTAAGGCTGACTACAGTCTCTTTCTTACTGTTAGTTAGCATATATAGGGCACAAATCTAAATTATTTTCTACTAGCTGCTGTGAGATGTAAATTGCTGCAAGCAGCCCTAGCCTAATTTCTGAAGGGACCAGTAGTTAAATGGTTCTACTGAAAAGCTTTGGGAAAATTTTTAGGTTACCAGCAGAGAGAGGTAAAATATGATAAGTGGAGAGAGTTTTCTGTGGTCAGGAGCCAGTTTCCACTGAGGAACCTTTGGGTGTCCACCAGAGAGTAGCCCTGGCCTTGACCCCTCAGTTGTTCTCAATTTCTATTGGCCGTGGCAACCAGAGATCAGTCTCCAGAAAGGAATCCAGCTGTCTCTCTGGTCAACTTTCCATCAGCCATTACTTTTTTTTTTTTTTTTTTTTTTTTTTAACAATTTGACTTTGAGCCTAATGGGATGGTTTAG